CCATTGCTTCCACATTCTTGATCATGTGCCAACGGTACACCATGGCAGGTATTCCGTCAAATACGGTGTCTACGTCCCTCAAACACGCTTGATCTCGGTCTTTTCGAATGACACCGGGCACATCCACATCCTTTTCGATCATGAAAAGCGTAGTACATTCAGCGCCAAGACGTAATCTTACTTCTTCTCACCATGTAGCCAGCGTTGTGCAGCTAGCAGCGCAGTGTTGAAACCAGTCGCGCTTATAGTGCTCAGTAATGGAATCTTATATTTTTTGTTTTGTACGTGCAATCCATGACTAGCACGTCATGATGGCGGCAAAACCAATTACCCGTACTCGAATGGGCCCAAAACAGGTTCCTCAGCTCCTGCGATTCTCCAGAAACAGCGTAGCGAAAGACGAAGTTTTTGCTCTTCAAACTTGAAACCAGTGCCTCCATCACTATCTGTGTAGACAGCTCACGACGCCTCACAGCGGTTTTAGTGTTCGCTATGTCCTTCGGAATGACAAACGAGTGGGGGTCCGCCTGCAGAAGTGTACCATGTATGCTTGCCACAGACGACACCAGCAGCTGTCTGGGCTTCTACCAGTGATTGCACTGAGGTGTTAGCAGCAACACTTGTGTTCCTAGCAGCACGCTATCGATGACATGCATGAGCGCGGGCATCTTCAGACTCGGGGTGGTTATGAAGCCGGCTACCGTTGCTGGTGTGGACTATCTCTCAAGTCCTGGGGGGCGGGTGATAAAGAAACGGCCAGCTTCATCTTACAGCCGATTCTCTTCGATTCTCGCATTATACGAACGCGTTCTTCTGTAATTAGGCGCTGGGTTTGTTTTGGGACGCCAGTACGATCACAGTCTAAACCTCGCTTCCACACGATAGTCTTCGTACCGTCCGTATAGAAAGCGCGGCGTTTGGTCAAGCTTGTAATTGTGCGCCTTCGTCCACCGATGGGCCGCTTCAAGTTCCTTGGCCTCAGACGGAACTGTTTCCTCGGGTGGTGGCATGAACTCGAAGACTCCTACGCCGATTTCTGTGTGAGTCGTGGGTGGAGTCGTCGGTGGATCGAAATCGGTAGCCATTGTAAATAGAAAGTAGAGAGCCGGCAAGACTGATAGTGTTGTGCGAGTGTGGTGCTGGAGGCAAAATACAACAATGAATACTGTAAGATGAAAAACTAGAGCAATTAGACATGAGCGCTCTCTAGCGGTATAGCCGAATAATCGGTTTAAGCATATGCTCTAGTGGTATAGTTAATCCTGTATCCACCACGACAATTTCTGGTCTAGATATTCTATCTGGAGTTCGAGGGGCGAAATTCTGTGGTCTACAAATAAAAGCCGCAAACATGGCCTTATTCCTTTCGCGCCAAAATTAAATATAGTATTATGTGTTCCTCTACAGACACATTGAAGTTTGAAGCCCAAAAACTCGTGAGCAAAAAAATATATTGACTTATTTTTGAAAATGGTCTAATATAGAAATGGCCCTCCTTCCCAACAAAAAGCGCATGCAAGTCACGAGATGGGCATCGTCCAAAGTGCTTACACATTAAGAAAACATTTAATCCAGCTCAGTACAGGGAGTAGCGGCAATAAGAAAGGGTTCAACGAATAATGTACTGAAGGCGAATACATTACGTAAGTAAAAACAAATTGAGGAGGTCTCAAATATCCTGTATTAAAGAAATAAGATCTTACTCGATCGGATTGAGTAGCTCGTCAATTTCACTCCCTCAACGAAAAAACCTGCATGGCTATAGTAGTTTCTAGTGTCCTGTGATGGCACCTCGTTCGCAGCAGCACATATCCACTGAAGCGCGGATGGTACGAGGCCCATGTCCCCGTCAAGTAGACGTAGAGCTGCCTTTTCTGTCCGTGCAGCCATAGAGCGCCGCCTTAACCACGCTATGACCCCTTGGTCTATCGGTTGGCGTTAACTAGCAGCAAAATATGTCTGCCATGCTCAGCGATTACCTTGTCTAGCGTTTGTAGCCACTCTTGGAAAAACTTCCCTGTCATCCAGCCAATGGTCCCGAAAAAATAATGCTCATAAAAATTAATTCAAATGTTAATTTTTTTAATTTTAATTTTAAGCATCGATTCATTGCTGAATTGCACCAATTCTTTTATGCATTAACAGCCTATAGGCTCTACAACCAACAATACCACCCTTAGCTCCTCACCATTCGTTGCGTATGCTCCCTAGCAATACTAAACATGTATGTCATTCTCAAATTATCTTCAAAGCTCTCAGCTAGCTACCTCTAAGCTCTCAACCAATTTCTCGGCCCGCAATGGTTCTCACGAGTAGTTAGATCTGCTTCACGCTTTTCACCGCAGTTGGAGACAACATGCATACCTGCACGACATGTGGCAAGGCCTACAAGAAGGGAAATGGCTACACAAACGACTAAATCACCTGCGTCTCAGCCATATCAACTACGAGCAAGAGGCCCAGGAAGCAGCACGACGTTAAAACCACCTAAAACTACGTCTCGTCAGCCAGCGAACTCGAGATCTCTATCGCTGGCTGGAGTGGGTTATCTCCGGGCGGCTCCCGTTCGAGTTCGTTGAACACCGCCTCACGAGACTGAATTCCGCTCCCTCTACAGTCTCTGAGGACACTCTGTCAAAGTACGTAAGGCAAGTGAGTGAGACGGTCGAAGCCCGAGTCGCTGACGAGCTTCCTGATTCGTTTGAACTCGTACTGGACGGCTGGATTAGTAGCAATCGTCACTATGTAGCAAACTTGACGGTGTACGACACAGTCGGTAATACCGGCATTCGGACTTCAAGTGACTATTTCGAAGACTTGGAGTGCACAACCCGCCGGTTCCTACTTTTGGCGTTCTCTCCTGTTGAATCTGAAGATGATCTGAGCGAACAGAGTCAGGTCGACCTCATTGCAGATACACTCTCGCGCTATAACAAGCCCTGGGACTTGCTTAGGTTCATAGTGGGAGATAACCGCTCGGTGAAACAGTATATTGGTAACAAGGAAGGCGGTACTCCCTTGATCGGCTGTGCTAGCAACCAATTTAATCTGGCCGTGAAGTATTTTCTAAAGGAGGAAGACGTGGTGATCACGAAGGTTCACGCGCTGATGTCCAAGCTTCGGACTATCAAGGGTAGAGCGATCTTACGCCGCGTCTCCCATCTGTTTCCGCTCCTGCGGACTGAAACCAGATGGTCGAGTACGGACGAGATGGTCGGGAGGTACGTGAAACGCCAGCCGTCCATAGTTCAACTGTGTCACGGAATGCGTGTTGAGCATGGGGTGCAGCCTTTGCGACTGCGGCGGGCCGAGCACGAGCGCGTCAAGGTGTTGATTGATGACCTTACTGCTTTTGAGGCGGATACCAAGACGTTACAAAAGTCTACACTGGCAATAACGACTGTACGGCGTCTTCTTGACCAAATCATCAAGCAATACCCGTCCCTGAAGCCTCGGCTAGCTGCGACAGCTGTCATCGTTAACTATCCCGATTTAGAGCAAGGTGTGGTTAAGCTGCAGCGGGGTGAGGCACTAAATTGGGCCGAGAGGACGGCCCGTTCTGAATTTACAGCGCCAAGTTTGGAACAAGGACCCGCAAGAGGTGCAGACGACTCTTCGATTGTCAAGGCCGCATTCAAGAGACGCAAGGTTGCCAAGCGCTCACACTTCGTGGATCCCACCGACTTCAAATGAGTGCGAGCGCTTCTTTTCTTCGGCCTAGCTCGTGCTGTCGGACCTGCGAAAGCGAATGACCCCCGAGAAGCTGGAGATGGTGATGTGTCTGATGTACAACCGCGACCTCTGGGACGTGGACACTGTTGACGAGGTACGATCCAGAATTGGGAAGAATAATACTAATAATTGAATAATTCATTTCTTCACTTGACGAGAAAGTATTCATCCGTGTAATGGATTTTCGGGACCCCTGCATCCAGCCCTTTCTAGTGCCGTGATATGTAGCCAGACTAAGCATATCCTGCAGCCATCGCGGCTCCTTAGATTTCTCCGAAATCATAGCTTCTCGAGGCCGTGGCAAGCCATAAAGTGGTGCTACCAGCCCCTTTTGGAAAACTTGGGCTGCTTTGCGAGACGTATCTTCGAGAAACAATGGAACGCTCGCGCAAGCTAGCGCAGCCCGTCGCGACTCACTGCTCCACTAAGTATATAGAAGCAACCACGTGGGTGACGGGGCCTTCTCTGTCGAAGTAGGCAATGAACGTAGAGAGAAACTATGCCTCCCTCTTCAGCTACTACTGTACATGTACATTACTATTCATGTACAGTAGTACTTTATGCTTTAACTTCTGCTTTTGAAACGTAGTACACTCTATTAAAATAAAATGGATAAGTAGTTCAAAAAGCTGATCTCTTTTAAATAATTGCATAATTTTGGTTTGGATGTTTAATTAATTTTCAAACAGCCTTCATCAAACAGCGCCCATGGCGTAAAACACTCACTTGCTTTAGAGCTTTAATAATCGGATCCTGGATATGTCTTAGAACTATAATATGCAAAAGGCTTTTGATAAATTAACTCTGCAGTAAATAAAGATCTTATAAAAATTTCTGGATTTTCGCAAGTTTTTGAAGCAAGAAAAGGGTCAAGCTCAATTTTTCAACATATATTTCCAGTGGAACAACTGGATCTAAGTATCGAAATATCGATCGGTAATCTAACCGTCATTTATTCGGTTGTCGCGCTATTTAATGATTATTAACAGTACAGGGAACACATCAAGCTACATTTGGTTGCTGAAACTTCGTCTTGGGAAACTCTTTGATACATTTACTGGAAGGCGCAACTTTAAACTGGACTTCTGTAGAGAGTTGCACATGCAAATTAAAGGCTAGTCCATGCTGCGAACTTGGATGCACATCATCTTCACTTCGACAATCAAACGCGCAAGCGAATCGTTTCTGTGATCAAGACGCGAGGCAGAATCACCTTCGCGCTATTATTCTGTCGCGCCCCCCGCATAAGAAGATATACACGAGTAGGCATGCGTCTCGTATACTACGTAGGTCTCTTTGTGTTAATAGTTGCACATGTCCTTACGAGCTGCGGCGCAGCCTCGACCATTGCGGATGCAGACCAGAAGAACACAGCGTCTTCATCTCAGGCCGATTACAATGACACGCATAAATACCTGCGAAGCGATGCTGCAAGCACAGCTGCTGAAGTCCACATGAACTCGGCGAGTGACGAAGAGAGAGGGATCATACCAGCAAGTGTGCGTATAGCACTCAAAAGGCTCGACGCAAAAGATATTTCCATTTACAGGTAAAGGAGGCGCGAAGGAATGGATGGCAAAGGTACTGAAGGTCAACAGGGTGGCCAAGACAACACTCGACGATTACTTCCGACAACCGTTCTGGGAGTTCCGCTTCACTGTCTGGGCTGCGAATAAGCGAACCCCGGCGATGATGTACAACCGGCATGAGCGACAAGAACTACCACATCTACATTAATACTTGAGGTTCTACGAGTTCTTTAAGGGACCTACGTATAACCCCCTGGTTATTTAAGGGCCAAATATAAAAAACAAACTACCGGCAGAAATTAAGCAGGTCGTGCAAGGAGATACAAAAGTACATTGCTTTGCTTCTATAAAGTGTTGTTTGAACGCTGAAGGGTAGTGATAGATTCTCGAGGCATCCAATAACGCAAATAGAACGTTAATTGCGACACTGCAGTAGCACTGCGCTCCGCCGATTTATCAAGGTCGGTTTCCCCCATCGGATCGTACACGAGGACCTCAGAGCTCGCGAGCTTTACCATAATACTGCACCAATGAATGCCGTTGCAGCTAATAGGGAGCAACACTATTTCATTCGACAAACCAAAAAACAATTTGGCGAGCTCGTGGGTGTCAATAGATACTGCGCCTTCAACCACAACCAGCATAGTTGTAGGTTTGATGCAGACTACCTTCGGCCCACTGAACAATTTCTCGAAGGTCGCATCGCTAAAAGAGCCCTTCCCAGCAATCTCAATTAGCTCCATCTACACGTCCAGATTAAAAAAACGAGGTTAGCTAGCAGTCTCGATAAGAAACAGAAATAGTAAGAGTAAAGTGTACCTGGGATGAGAAAACAGGGAGGACTTTCAAGCGGGATTCGAGAGTTTGGTCTTTGATAACTCGAAAATGTCGATCCACATTGAGAGTAAAGTCAACTTTAGTGATCCACACGAACGCTTTCTCTAGCGTGTCAATGACTTTCGTGACTTCATGCCACCGCTTCATGGCTGCGACGGTGGGCGGAGTCAATATTCCCACTGTTGCAACCTTCACCATACCCAGTTTTCCGATGCCTTCGCGTTTGTTTTGGAGCGAGGATATAGCTTTTTGGCACTGCCTGATGACAGACCAAGGTAAAATTTGTGCCAACTTGTTGGGCGATACAATTGCTTCCTTCTGCACTTTCCGAAGCTCGTACGCAGTAACCTTCGGAGCTTTCAAAAAGTAGAAAAGACGAAAGTTCTTGCACAGCAATGCAGCCTTATCTTGGAGAAAAGTGAAACCAACATACCTACGTGGTACTGATCATCGTCATCACTCTGGATGCCATCGGGGACATCCAGCCCGACCTGTATAGCCTCCTGTACGTCCTGCATGGCGTCTTCTAGACACTGGGAAACGTCTGGCAAGTGCTGACCGCCTATTGTCTTGCCCTGAAAAACATTGGAAACCTCTTAATGGTCGTGCGAGGCATCCTGCACGTCCTGGGGCATGTAAAATGCTTCCTGCGACGCGCCCTGGGCGTCCTGGACGTCCTGGGGTGATGCGGATACGTCATGCGACGCGCCAGGAGGGCTAGGATCGTCCTGGGCGTCCTGCAAATGCTCTGGTACACCGGGAACCACCACCACCTCGTCCGCTGGCCCTGGCTTTGAATATCGCTCGATAAACCGACGGACTCTTCTGTTTTGATAGTTGGGATTGGTTAAATCTGCCGTAAATTCTTCAATGTTTCTGCGATAATGCAACATCTCCGAGAAGGTGCCTCTGCCACTTGCACGCATATTATCAAAGTAATCGATAATCCTCCCCTCGAAGGGCTTCGTTTTGTACTTCCGCCCTCCTCCTTTCCTTCGCTTTCGATGTGAACCGCATTCCTCGTCCAGTCGGTGCCAGTACTGCTCCTTCCAACCTCGGAGGGTGCTATCGTAGACTCCCAGTTCATGAGAGGCGTCACGGAGAGTCCATTCCAGGTGAGATTGCCATTGCCGCAGCAGCTCAAACTTCTCTTGCTCTGTGCGCTGAGTACACACACGCTTCGACATATTCTGCGTCTGTTGAATTGTGACCACTCGTTCTCCAATCCCAATCCTTTCACATTAACTCGCGCGACTTATTGTGAACAGGCAATGGGTTTCACATTAACTCGTGCGACTTATTGTGAACTGGCAGTGGGTTTTGCGATAAAGGTTCTGTATTGATAATAAAATAATGAGAATAACAACAGCAATGGTTTAGTCGTATTAGTTCAGCAGGGCTTGCATCTGAAGTGCGCGGGATGATAATGGAGGTCTTCCTACTTGGCGAGGTGACGGCGTACCAAACAAATTGTCATCTGTACTGCGAGTCCACTCCACAGGTCTATCAGGACCAAGCACGTTCTCGGAGCCTTGCTCCATACACCTTGCGGCAAAATCGGTACTTCTCTCGTTTTCAGTTGTTGTCGACATATAGGAAGCAGGGGTGTAGCTGAACTGTTGATTGATTTCGTGATGCAAGTTTGGCTGGTTCGGTCCTGGGTGTAGCTGCATCGCAAAGCCGTCTTGTGCAGGACCAGGCACGACATTTCTATAACTAGTCGAAACATTCGTCGAAGCCAGTGGAAATATAAACCCTGGACTCCATGCATTCAGCCATTCATTGTTTCCATTCCAATTTGCACTGGCGATAACTCGATCGTAAGGGTTGTTGCGGTTTGTTATGTTGTATATATGCCCGTAAAAGCCCTGGTCAATTTGCGTCGAGGGTAACATTCGAGCACTACCATCATCGAAAGACTCTCTATCCAACTCGTGAGCATGTCCCAAGTGCTCTTGCCTATGTCGGAACGCACGAACTGAGCCTCAGTGTCAACGTTGACTCCCAAATTGCTCCGATCCGATATAGAAACCACAGTGTCACCTTGGCTTTTTCTCAGCTTCTTTCTTGCTCGCCTACACATAAGTTTTTCCCCAAAGCCAACGTTATTTCCAATCCCGAGGACCGATCTAGCCACCACTATGTGAGAACATATTCCAAACTTAACGTGCATTGAGCACACGTATTCGTTCTCCTCAGCATTCACTAGCCATCCATTGGGAGGCATATTTTGTCGATGTGCCCGCCTCGTAGACCATTTTACGCTATCACAATACAGGCGAGAAGCTTTTCGTTTTTGTGACTTGTCTAACAGCAAGGATAGAAGCGAGAAATGTTCGGATTCTTGGTCGCAAATAGTAACATTCGCCATTTCCCGCATGGATGCCATGGCTTCTGCATCCATATGCATTTCCAACATATGCATCACACGCACTTGCGCTGCATCACGAGTCCGAAATACCATTACAGCTTTGGCTTTCAACATCCACTTAGCCGTACGTTTGATTTCGGGATTGGGTGCGGCGATAGATGCTGAAGGAGAGGCAACATCACAACCTACATCTTCAGCCAGAGTAATCATACTTCGGATCAACGTGCAAATTTCGGAAGCTTTTCGCTGTACATGACGTTTTACAGTGGCGTTAAATACTTCACAGGGATTGTTTGTCGTAGCGTAACTAGATGATAAATCTGCCATCTCCAAAAACGGCTTTCAATCCACTGTTCCTTAAAGTAATCTGCAAACGCTTTGAGGCATGGCTCCATTCTCCACTCGGAAATAACGCGATCTTTCACACTGCAGTACTCTGTATAGTTTGTCGTAAAATGCATATTCATAACTCCTGAAAATACGGAAACCCCCGGTCCTGTTTCAAGGTGTCTTGTCCGCTTGTGCACGTTATAAAGCACATGAAAAAAACACATCAAGTATTTGCTTTCGCTAAATACTGTAACGTTTCGCAACGCGTTCAGCTGTGCGTCTTCTGCGTCTCCCATGATAGCATCCACGCGCAGCGAAGCCCCAAATATCCTTTGGTATAGCTTTGCAAAACATCCAAATGCCAATTCATACTCTCGGTGAGTTCTAGCACTAACTATCAGGATGGCAGCAAGGTGGTAAAGCGTGATCGATCGGTAAATCCACAAGTTATCACTGGGTAGCCCAGGTCAGTGAGCTTAAAAGTAGCGTCGGTGTGGAAACGTCTGAAGTGGTCATCACCACGGAGCTTGTTAACTTTTGTTAGCAAGCTCAGAGTAGTAATTCCCACAACTAAGGGGTCCTCGTCAGTTCCTGTTCCAATTCGAGGAAATCCATCGTCTTCAAGTTCCGGAGCAAACAGGAAAGCTTTTTTGCGTCGATTCCGGGGTAGTAAGGATACTCCTTTGCCAACGACCTCCCACCTTGCCGTGTGTTACGCGTCAAACTCTTCTTTCGTAGACGTTTCACGCAATCGGTAATTTGCTGTCGAGACGGCGGCCCCAACGGCGGAGCCGGTATGTCTGGCGCGCGACGAAGACTGCTCCATATATGCCGAGGTTGCATACCACAGGCATCCATTCGAGCTACAAACTCCTTCACTTCTGTGGTTATAGGCACACGATGGGCACCAATGCATGCTTCGTCGCGCAAATGATTTTCGTCGTTCGTGTAGATGTGCCAAGACGAATGAGACGTGCACTCCCATGTTTTCCACTGCACAGCACACTGTGTACCTCCCAGCGCCGCTTCCTTCTTGGCACAGGATGGACTCGTGCATACCATGCGCCGCTCAAGCATTGCATGATCACCAGGGCATATTTTACAGTTGATCTCACGCTTCGCATAGATTGAAGAGCAGCAAAACATCTCGGCTCGGAATTTTGTAAAGCCGTCACTGGATGTATGCTCCGCCAGCTTCCTCCATGCTATTCTCGGCATTGCTGCACTACAAAGAGTATAAGCACACACTGTATGCGGACGTGTAGAATGAGGAATAAACACACACAGAGCAGTGCGGCCACGCAGTACGGTGCTTGAATGGTTGGTGTATGGTGCGACTTGTGATTCACTTTAACTCGCAGACGTGGACACCTGCGTCATTACTAATTTACAATTTTTTTTTGCTCGAACCCGCAAATCTGTTGGATGACGCACCAAAACGGCACTTTATTTTGCGGCACTTTATTTTGCTCAAGCCTTTTTGGTT